CGACGTCCATATGTATAACCGTTGCGCGTCGCGTTCGTTCCTTCGCGGGGACAGTGTGAAGTTATGTGCGTATCGTCGCGCATCATTCCGTGATCCCGCGCTTTTCTCTACATTACTTTTCTTTACTACGCCTCGCGTCACCTCACCGGCTGCCGTCCGTTAGTTCGTTGCAACCAAACACATAGAGAATGGACTGCGCGACCGTGTGTCAAAATGGTCGACAATAATGAGAGAGAGGGACCGTGGGAGACGGTCAATCTCCCTCTCATTCTCTCTCCCATTACACCATTGAATGGAAAGAGATAGAAATGGCCGTCTGCCACGGTCCTTCTCTCTCGTTTCTATCGACAATTTTGACACGGATCGCGCAGTCCATTCTCTGTCTTTGGTTCGTTGCGTCTAGTTCTCTAATTCACGAAATGTCAAGATCAAGCCGAAACGTAGCTTCGTTCGATTCTTTCGTGATGATCCGCGTTGTTACGAAGTGATTAATTTTCGGGAGTGTCACACGGTTGTCATGGTTCGTAGGTCATCAATGCGCGATCATAATCTTATTTGCGCGAGTGTGCGTGAACGTAATGAAAAAGCATCACGGAAAGACAAAAGGACTGCTGACGAATAAGCGAATTTCAGCTTCATTGAATCGTTCTTTTACGCGATATTATTTCGTTATGTTATAAAGTGCGCATCGGGATTAATATTGAGAATGTCGTATAAAGTATCATACGATTGTTGTATTCTGATTATCAGTGCGCGATCGTATTTTCGCGAGTGCTCTAGTGCAACAAGCTGTCATGGAGACATACGAAAGGTAGAGGAGGCCTGGGAGGCATCAGGCAACGCAACGGCGGAACAACTATAGGTAATTTATTATTTATTTATTTATTTGTCATTTGTGGAATATTGATTATTTATCTTTGCGACAATTGCATTCCGCGTTTTTTGTTGTGGAGTACATATAAAGCATTATAAATTATTCTTGTGGTTTCCACAGGTGCTTTTTATATGAAAATTATGCGTTTCATGGGTTTTCTCTGTGTCCAGATCCATTCTTGGATGCAGTATCAGGCTGCTCTCCATCCTGATGAAGTGGACTGCAAGGTTCATGAAACGTTGGTATTCCAAGAACGGATCTGGACAGTCTGGACACGGAAAAAACCCGCTAAACGCATAATTTTCATATAGCATTATAAATTACTTTGAGAGACATAATATTCATTAAAATATTTATGACATTTAATGTACATATTTATAAAATATTTCAACGTATTAAAATTTTAATCTATAATTGTTTTGATTATTTAGATAGAAATTAGGGATTCTCACGTTTTTTGTTAAACTTTGTAAGAATTTATACCTCAAAAAAGTTTTTTAAAATTTCTTTATATATTAAATACCTGATTAAAATACGAATAAAATAATCATGCGTAATATTTTAAAAAATGTATAGGTTTGTGTGATATTGTGTGTCTTAATTTGGATATATTTATTTATTATAGATGATGGCGTACACTACAATTCCGCTGCTGCACATCGTACCGATGAGTTAAACTATTTCTTAATTTTAAGGCAATAGATATGTGAGAATTACATTAAAAGTGTATCCTATAAAAAAATATCGGAAATAAATTAATCTCGAAATAAATTAAAAATTTCTTTCTCGTTGTAATATATAAAAATTTCAATCTTTTATAATAAAAATGGATGTACATTAGTCTGTCATTTATTTCTATAAACTAGTTTATAAAATAATTTATACATACAGTAGCTACTGTATGTATAAATTATTTTTATACATATTTGAGAAAAGCTAAGAATTTAAGTTTCAAGAGTTTCAGAATGCATTATAAATAACTGTAATATTTCATTAATCTATTGCCTTGATGGATCGAAATAAATGGGCTAATTGTAAGATTAAGGTGATGCTAAAGCCTCCTGTTTTACCACGTTTCCATTCGGTGAAAAATCTCTATTGGATGTACGGATTGCAAAAGTGTTATTGCTTAAATTAAAGTACGCACAAACAGGACCTCAGCTGCACTGGATTTCATGAGAAAATAAAAAAAAAAGTTTTAAATTCGTTAAAAATTAACTTACTTTTGGCTCGTACAGCTGTCACCTCAGATATATATTTGCTTGATATAAGAGTTTTAGAGTCCATATCTTGAAAATAAGCGTGCAGTTGAGGTCACATTATTGAAACGAACGATACCGAGTTTGTAGAACTAAAATTGACAGTCTAGAAAAGAAATATTTCCACCGAATAGAAAATACGTGTATAGGATAAACTAAGATATTATGGCCATACGGAAAAGATGGCCATAGGCCATATAATTTCTCCAATAATTGATAAATAGTGCATTTTTATAATCATTCTTAAAGATAATCAATATTTACAGTCGTTCATATGAGTACACTGTTCAAAATAACAATATTATAAATATTATCTAATATTTTTTCTTTCGACTATCTGCAAAGTTTTGCACGTGTCTGCTAAAAACTGTTATAATGTCTAATAAATTACAGTTAAACTGCCATAATCAACATTACATACACAATAAAAGTACGTAAATTGCAAAGTGACCTATAATTAATACTTTTATTTTCACTATTTATTTATAAATACCATGGCTATCTTTCTTAATATCATGGCCATCTTTTCCCTAAAAATCAGATAAGATGGCCAATGCATACTTTGTAATATTTTGATAAAATTAAAGTTCTGTTAAATATTTTCTTTTTAATTTCTCTCTCTCGATAGTATTTGTTACTTTAAACTTCAGTGAAAGTAATATCCTAAATATTGTTAAAAAGTAACAAGAATAAATGTATGTTTTTTGCATTTTAAAAAAATTATGGCCATCATACCTGAGTTTACCCTACAGGTGTTTTGCGAAGACTGGGACTGTCAACAGAGCCTAAATTCCGTATAGCAGTAGTTGCGCGGTCTTGCGATAGATATGGTACTGGCATATGTTAGATAAGAACAGATGTATGCGTTTGAGTAAGACAGAATGATATATATTATATAATATAATGTAAAAATTAAATCGAAGATGTCACCACTATTATCGAATTTGGAATTAAAAAAGTCTGTACTATCGACCTTGATCGAGTTGGGTAATCGGTTTAGCATCCTCTTAATTAGTGGAAATACTTAAACTAGAAAAACATAATTCCTTTCAACCATTAAATTCATTATTCGCGTATATGTATATCATTGTAAATGTCAGTTAATTCTAAATGCATAATACGAATATTAACCCTTACCGCACTAATATGGGTAACTAGTGGCCGAACGATTCCTGTTCGTGCAAGTTTCTTTGAGTCTTTCGGTAATTATAAATTATACTACATTTTATTTATTTATAGTACACTATAGTACACTATAGTACACTATAGTGAGATCAGAAAGGTGCGTTCTATTATGAGCTGCTAAAACCTGGCGAAACCGTTAATACTGAACGCTACCGACAACAAATGATCAATTTGAATCAAGCTTTGCGTGAGCAATCGTGATATAATTTTTATTTTTTATTATGCTAATTTATACTTTAAATAACAAAGGAATAGAAAATGAAATTAATAGAAAGAAAATGGAATAAATTAAATACAATGTGGATTTTGATACATATATATATATATATTTACAAGTATTAATATAAACATTAGTATATATACTGGAATAAAATTTAATATAAAATTTTGGTGATCAATTCTCACTACATTTCCTTAAAGATAAATCTGTATAATATTTTATCGGCAGTAAAGGAAATGAGAGTAGTTAAAAAAATTAATGCTATGCAATAATCAATAGCCAATAAAAAAACATTATAAAATATATGTACAAGACATTTAATTTTTCTAAGTTTAATTGTATATAAGTATGTATAAAATTGTTATTTTTTTATGTTACATAAGGATAATTACACAATTAAAAATGCATTAAAATAATTTTATATATTTGCAAAATAAGTAACTATATTCAATATTATATTGTATATCTATTTTTTATAGAAACATGTATATAAATAATACGGAGAATAACGTCTTGAGTTAGGACGGCGGAGTTGTGCTATCAGATCGAAGTTGCGATGGTGCAGCTTCGCTGTATGCGATATCGAAGACGCTTTTTTTCTCGAGAAGTTGTTGATGGCGTAGACGACCGCCACTTTGAAATGACGCTGCATTTTCTGACTGCAGATCACTCTCGGATTGTTCGTATTGCGATCCACACGGTTGCATTTCGAGGCATCTTTCTGGCGATAACTGTGGCGATGGGTGCGGAGCCGGAGGTGGATGAAGATAAAATGGAGGTGGTATTCTCTCATATTTGTATTCCGAATGCTGCAGCAGACGATGCTGCGTGTCCGAAGTAGAGACCGGCGGTGATCTGGCGAATATCTGAATCGTCGGGTCTTCCTTGAGACTACCCTCGGCCCTTCTTAATTGTCGTCCTTGACGCACAATGGCCTTCAACTGCTCTGATTCGACGTTCACCAGAGGTTTGATCTTGCGTCTGGTACGCGGCGTTATCTCTGGTGTTTTGCGTTCTATTGTTAGCTTCTCTCTTTGCTTCGTCGTTTGCTTCAAACTTCTACTTACCCAACGTGGTAGCTGCTCCTCATCATCCATTGCTTTCTTCTCTAATCTCTTTTTCTCCGCTTCCTCGCGTTTTTTATTGTACCAAGCCATGTACTTTGACTGCGTTTTACTCATATCGACTTCGCCCGTTTTCGGAGGAATTGTAGCTTTCTTGTCTGTCTTAAATTTTGATTTGGATACCTGCTGTTTTCGAGGATGCTGTTCTTCTCCCCTTCGTGGCGATCGCTTCTGCGATTCACTACTTCTTGTTTGCTTCTTTGAATCATCATCGATAAATTTACGAGATCTACGCTGAGAATAACTCGGCGTAGCTTTTTCTTCTGATTTATCAAGAACACGTTTTTTTTCCCTGGGTGAAGGCACTTTCAATTGTTCAGATTTCTTTGTTTTCTTCACGAAACGTTCGGAAGGTATAGTTTTCGTAATATATTTTTTCGGAGTTAATGATACATCACTTCCTTTACTTCTTATTTTGTCTATCTCAATGTCTCCAATTTTAGTTTTGTCCATTTCAATGGTTTTAGTTATTATTTTATCTTTTTTTAGATCTACTTGCTCAGATTTAGGTGACCTAATTTTACTTTTATCATCTTGTTTCACAGATTCGAACATTTTTTCGATCTTTTTACGAGGCGTAGCAATTTCACTTTTAGATTCCGCGTCTTCCTTTGTTGCGGGAATTTCATCATTAATATTTTCTTTTGATATGTCATTTAATTCTTTAATACTTAGAGTCAAAGGAACTATATCTTGAATTGTCGTCAATAAATTTTTTATTTCCGATTTTATATCAGTTTCTGGTTCTTCAATTCCGATTTTCGATTCAAAATCTTTATCTGTTATATCTTTATCGTCTCCTTCTTTTAAAAGAGACGTAGGCGAAATTCTTTCGTCAGAAAAAGTCTTTTCAGATGTACCAGCGATTTCGATATCTTCTTTTAATTCACTCGTTGATTCAGTTGTGATCGAATCTTCTGTCTTCTCAATTTCATCGAGCGATAAGTTACTATCTGTATCCTCTTCTAGTTCGGTTTCCGTTTTTGCGTCTTCTCCATCTCTGAAAGTTCTTACACCAGAGATTCCTGCTATTTCAATGCTTTCTTGCTGCTGCCATTTTTGTCGATGGCGCGGAGTATCATAGGGTCTCGTGGTCAGCGTTGTTTTCCTAGAAACATCACTGGATGAGTCGCTCTCCTCTGAAACATCGAGTGTATCATCAATAAAGCTGCTAAAAATTGGAACGCTTACGTCTGCTTGCTGCTCTCCTTTGTCTTGTGGCTCTGTGACTGCTCCGCTCTTAGAGATTATTACAAAACTCTCCACCATGTCTGGTTCACTGACGGTTGACTGTTGCAGATTCGAATCCTTCGGCAACTCGATAGAAGATTCCTTATCAAGTACTTCAAAAGAAGTACTTGATAAAATAGTAAAAGATTCTTCATCAGATCTTTCTTTTACTGCAGATATTTTTTCTGCTGCTTCTTCATCTTCTTGGAACAGTGATTCTTCTTTCTCCTTTGTATGATCAACTTGTAATTGTTCTTCAATAACCTCTTTTTTGGAAGTAATAATGTCCGTTAAAGACGTGAGAAGCTTATCTTCATCAAGTTCCTCTTCTTTCGTCTTGTGGATGTCAGATAGTCTTTCAGGAGATATGTGCGATTCTTTCTTAGTTTCATGGCTTTCGATTTCTGTCTTTGTAGTAAGATCGTCGCTTAAATGCTCCAATTCATCTTTATCAGTAGTTTTCTTTACAATATCTGGTACTTCGGTAAGCTCAGATCGAGTCGAATCGTGATCTGATTTTGATGTTTCGTCACTATTTGATGTTTCGTCAATGTATAATAATGTATCATCATCAATTGCAAATGCTCTCTGAAAACCATTTAAATTTTTAGTATCGTCTGTAAAAGGTCGACTGGTATCGAACGATTCTTCAGATGCTGTAGTTGTTGATTTTTCTCTTTTCTCTACATCAGATTCCTGAATTTCATATTCTTTTGGTTTCTCTACGTCACTTTTAATTTCACGTAACAAGTCCTCTTCGTTTTCTCTCTGCATTAATTCTTCTACCATCTTTTGTCCGGTATCTATTGCATCTTTTGTTGAAGAAATTTCCTCTTCAATATATTTCTTTGATTCAAGACTTAATTCTTCTTTTTGATCACTTTCAGTTTTATATAATTCTTCAGATTTGTCCGTTTCGCTTGAATATAATGACGTATATCCGTTTTTATGTTCTTTTTCTTCTTCTATATGCTCTGTTCTATCAATTGATTTGGTCAAACTTTCTATATGTTGCTCCATCGCTTTTTCACTCACAATCTCTTCAACAGCTTTCGATCTCTGTATTTCATGTAATTCTTTTTCCGGTATAACTTCCTCTTCTAACATTTCCTGTTCAGTTTCATAGGAAGATTCTTCTGCTATTTCTTTATGCTTTCCAGACATATAAGCTATTCTTCTTTCAACAGCTCTTTTCTCACTGTAAGATGGCACTTTCTCTGTTTCTTCTAACGCTTTTGTGATAAGAGAATCCGAAGGCATTGTTGCCTTGCTGTCTTCCAATTCTCTCTTAGAGACTTCAAATAATTCAAATTGTTCTATGCTTGGGATGTCTAATATTGTCTCACTTTTGTGTTGCGTATCTTCCATATTTTGAACAATTGCGAGATCTTCAATAGTTTCCTTTAACATCAAGTGTTCTTTGTCAAAATCGTGATACACATTTTCTTTATTGCTGCTGAAAACTTCACTTTCAACCGTAGCTTGCATTTGATGTTCTAGCTTTTTTGTCTGTGGTTCTATTACGAAGTCATCAGAAAATTGTTGTATTATTTCGATATCTTCTTTACCATTTGCAACGTCTTCTTTAACTATGTTTCTGTTCATTGTTAGAAGAAACACGCTTAGCTGATCGATGTCTCTTCTCTGCGGTTCTGGCACGAAGTCATCAGAGAATTTCTCGCTTACGTGTAGTTTCTGTTTTGATTTTTGTTGATCCGCGTGATTCGATGGAACTTCCGAAGACTCCATGCTTTTCTTGTCGAAATCGCGACTTATGAACGAATCCTTTTTGCCATTCATACGATCGGAACTTGTACTCGTGCTTGGTTCCTCCGAGATATGTTTCTTACGACCAATTGCTGCTAACTTTTGCATACGCGACGTTACTTTGACAGTTTTGTCAGCCTTCGGCCTGCCGCTTTCTTTACTCGCGGCTTTTCTGCGCTTCTCGAACTCTCGATCCTGTTGTATAATTTGCTTTTTGCGTTCTTTACGTTCAAGCGTTTGCCTTTTCACTTTCGTATGGCTACTCGTTTGTTTGTGTTTCGCAGCTTCTTGAGAAGTTAATTTCGATTTTTCCGTTTTTTCAAACGCATCCTCGTTTTCGGAACTACCGGCGCTCATAATCTGCGGTTGCTGGTACTTAAATTTTTCTTTCTTCGTCTCTTTCGATGTACTTGGAGAAACCTCAAACCGTTTGTGCTTCTTTGAGTCCTCTGTTTTCTTCGATGTACTATCTGAATCTTTCTTGAAGTCTTGCGAGGTTTTCGATTTCTCCTGACTTGTACTTTCAGTAGTTTGTTTTACTTTTTTATCAGCGAGTTTACTTAGTTTCTTCGTCAGCATTGTGATCTCTTTTTCTAAAACTCGAAAACTAGGTTTTATTACGGATTCTACCTTCTTTTGCTTCTTTATTCTACTTTCTTTCCTGGTACTTGTCTTTTTCGTTGTTTCGCGAATATATTTTCCATTATCGACACTTATTTCCGGAGAAGACAAGCTTTTCACTCTTTTCTCGTCAGAAGATTTATCATGTTGCTTATCTGCTTCCGTCGATGAAGAGGAACCATTTTTCTCGCCTAGTACTTTGTATCCAATACTACTCTCTTCGGTGTACTGTTGACGAGTTTTTGTTGACTTTCTTGCTTTTTCGCGACAAGTACTTCCATTCTCGTCGAGAGAATCTGAGATTTCCCGCAGCACTTTAGGTTCCAAGGATACCTTTCGTCCCTCCTGCACTGCTTGTACTTTCTTCCTCAAAATGTTCAGTCGTTTGTCGAAACAAGGGCCTTCCTCTTCTTTGATAGGCGTTTTCATCCATAAAGTTCGCGTTCTCAATTTGCTTTCTCCGTGGCGTTTCTTCATCCTTTTTCGATTTCGGATATCCTCGTCAGACTCGTCATTGTCACTTCTACTTCGGACATGTCGATCCGTTTGTGTCGCAGCGGCTCTGTCAGTCTGCGTCCCGATTGCCACTTGTCCGGGAAGACTTTGGGTCTCTAAGTAACTTGCGGCATCCATCATTACGCCACCAGCATGTCTAGATTCCCTCTCCAATAATATCCTTGTCAATAGAGCGTTCTGCTTCGCCAGTTCTATATCGTGAAACGTGTATGACTGCATTGTGGTGGATTGTGTTTGATCTTTGACAATTGATGGTCTATCTTTGGGCGATATCCCTGGTACATTTGTTGAGATCTCTTGACGACGAACGTCTCGCATCTGCGACTCCGCATCTATATTTTGCGCCTCGTATTTATCGTCCATCGCTAACTTTTGCGCACTAGATTCTAATTCTTCCACGCGTCGACGTCTAACGTCCAGTTCTTCCGGTAAGAGAAGAATTTCCTGCTTATGTTGGTATAAATTTCTCGAACGTTGATGAGAGTCGATGGTGCGTACTACCTCGGGTTCTTGTATGGGCAATTCGTGCCGTGCTTTTTGATCCCGCATAAATCGCTCCAGAAGTACATCCTTGCCATCCACTATAAAAGTTGGATAATGGCGATGTTGACTCCTATCCTCCACTTGTCCGCGTGTTACTAATTGCAGCACCTCTGCGTTACCCTCGCGATAAAAATGTTGCTCTCTTATTGCTATCTCATTACTTAACTCAGGATCGACATATCTGTAATACGAAATAATATGGAATATATTCATATATCATTTTTTATTCTAGAGAAATTTTATTATTATTATAATAACATAATATTTTAACGAAAATAAACTTTTTGAGGTTGAATTTGAGTTTCTGGTTATAAAAGTAAATACTTTAATAAACTAAATTAATATAATAAAAGTCTAATGTATTATTATTATGTGATAATGTACGTTCTATTTACCTTTGTTTGTAAGCTTGGCGCTGAATATCCGAACCACGTTCGATTTCGTGTCGTTGCAAAGAATCTGCTTCCATAGCATCGTAATCTCTTTCTCTGAGCTCTCGAGCCTTCCTCTCGACATCTTGTACGTATATTCTTTCTTGCTCTTCGAATCTCCTCCTCGAAGGATCATAGGCTGGGCCGTCACGTAACCTCAATGATTCCACATTTGCTTGGTCGATTGGAAGACGCTCCGATATGTACACAACGTCACCAGGAAGCGATGCTAAGCCATCGTTCTTTGTGTTTTGACGATTGAATTGCCAGTTTCTTCGAGTTGGATCTGCGCTCCAAGCTTGTTTTCTTCCGTTTGATTTAATTACTATTTGATATATTAATTTTGTTAATAAATCATAAATTTTCTTTATATAGAAATAATTTTCTAACTTTTATGGAATACAGTAAAACTGAATGTGATTCTAATATTTTTATAAAAAATTATTTTGAGAGAATTTATCTGAAAGTTTGAAAATAAAATAAAGTTGACAAAGAATAATTACTATCAATTGCAAGCGGTTTCCGATGAAGATGTCGTTTCGGTCGACCATCGGATCGAGCAATAAGCGTTTCCGACGAATGAATTCTACGTTTTCTAGGTGCCATGTAAAATGGGCAGCCTGGACATATACAACAGATGATGAGCGCCGCTATGGCCAACAACATTAGCAGACCCAAAATAATTAGTAACCACAGGAGTAGCTTATTCTCCGCTTTGTACACAGTCTGAAAAAGAACCCTGATTTTTCATTTTTCTAAAATAGAAAATTACCAAATTGGAATAAAAGAAAAATATGATTTATAAAAATGCTATTTGTCAAAACTTAAAATGCAAGACAATCTGATCCTTGAAATGAATAAAATAATAACATTTATAAACAATTTATTGCGCACATAGAAAGTTAAAAAAATATTTTTTAATATGTCTAAAACTATCTAAAAGTAATTTAATTAATAATTGAACTAATTAACAAATAAATTAATAAGGAACACAATTTTTTATGAAAAGTGCATCAAGTAATGTAATTTTGAATATAAACTGACGTGTCACGTGATGAAGTTAACGAGTGTGGGCAATTAGCGTTTACTCACTACTTCGTCGTGACCGATGATCGTTTTGTTTACATAGGTCTCCGTACTGTCTTCCCCATTGTGAATTACTCCATCCATTGGATATTTCATGGTAGACTCGTAATCTGTCATAGACTCATTGTTGGTGCCTACGCCATTGATAATGCCCACCCCATTTGCGGCTAATATGTTACGAATTTTTTCCACGTCCACCAGAGGGGTGCCGATTTCGGTTTGTTCGACGCGGGCTACGATGATCGTTCTATCAGTAGAAGAAAATAAAAATATGAAAGATTTGTGATTGATTAATAGTTGAAACATTAATTTAAATTTTTCTAACTTTCATTGTCGATTTGAAAGAAATAATTCGCAAATAATTGGAAATATTTTTTAGTGTTTAAATTTATATTTTTTTAAATATAAAACCGATAAATTTCACTAATTCTATCAACCTTTTTTCTCCCGCTGGAACAGGACTGGTCGTTACGGTTTTATTATTTGATACATAAGGACGTGTTTCTAATACGGTAATTCGTCCACCAGTAATAGTGGCTAATGTTTCCGTAGTTGTCGTTAAATTTGGATGATCTCCCAAAACCACAAACATCATTATACGAGCTTCCATGGCAGTGCCTCTAACGATGAAGATCTCTGTCTCACTCGCGAGATGAGGTACACCTAGAATATTGCATTAATGAAGAAAAGAGAATAGTAAAAATGATTTTTTGGCTTAAAATTTCTACAAAACTTTCAATTTTTGTTATTTATTTCGTCCGCCAAGAACTACATTTACTATATGAATATTTACCAAGATCATATGCCCTGGCAGTTAAAGTATATAAAATATCAGGTTCCGCTCGTTTTCTTCGATGCCCTTTTATCTCTCCAATTTGACGTTTTAATTCAGTTTCATTCGGAACGCTTTCCGTTGAATTTGCCATATCCAGAAATACTGTTGTTTTTTTTACAGTCTCTTGTATTGTGTGTTTTGGTTGAAGACTTTGTGCTTTTTTATGTAATTTCCTCGAAAAATTATCGTAAATACTTTGTTTCTTTCGCCTGAATTTTGTGACAGGTGACAGTAACGTCAGTTCTCCGGTAATCTCATTCAAATAAAATTTATTTTCATAATTTCCGTGAATCAGTTCGTAACGAATTTCATTGTTTGGCGGTTCGGCATCAGCATCGGTGGCCTGAATTAAAATGTTTTTTTCATAGAAATATCGAATATATTTATTGAAAGTCTTCTTACAAATGGAAATCAATTAAAATGGAATTATAAAAAATTTCAAGATTACCTTGATAATAGCAGGCGTTGAAAAATTCGTCAAATCGGAATTTAATGTAAATTCATAGGTATTTTTCTCGAAAATTGGCGCGTTGTCATTTACGTCCAGTAAATTTACTATCAAAGGTACTTCACCCGTGTTACCTTTACCGTTTTCGTCACGTGCAATTATAGTTAATTGTAGCTGCGCTGCCATTTCACGATCTAATGAAGATCCCATCGCAACCGTGATTAATCCCGTATCAGGATCTATTGCAAAAGCATCGCTTCCTTCTCCTATTATGCCTGTATATCGAATACTGCCAAAAAGTCCAGTATCTTTGTCGGTTGCATGCACCTATCAGTAAAATCATGATTTTTTTCGAAATAATATAACATAAATTGTTAAATATGTAATTACAATATATAAACCAAGAATAGTAAAGTCGAGTTTAGAGATTTATTTTTATTATGTTTATTTGAAACAAGGATTAATTATATATTACCTGAATCACCCGCGTCCCAGCGGTGACATTTTCGGATAATGTAACTTCATAAGATTCTTCGTCAAAGACGGGCGGATTATCATTAACATCTTGTATAAATATTACGACTGTTGCTGATGCTGATAAATTTGTTGCTGGACCAACTTCTTGAGCAATAATCTAGATTATACATAAAGCTATATGTCTTAATTGAACATTTACTTTTAACTTAGACAACATTTATTTATTGATAAAATTAATTATGCTTGTTTCAGTTACTTTTACATAAAAACATAAAAATAATATAATACGAGCCAAACGACAAAATTGCATTATTTCATTCATTATCTTTGTATTGGGAATACCTTAAAAGATAAACTTTCATGCATCTCGTAATCGATGAGTGTATTGTCTCGCACCATGAGAATAAAATTTGCTGTTCTTTCAGCAACAGTTGGATTTATTTCGAAAGTACCATTATTATTCTGTAGTTTTAACGCGAAAACACCAGCTTTACCGATATCTTCATCGTGGACTTTAGTCGAATATTGCTCGGGGAACATTATCACAGAACCTGGATCCAAATTCTCTGGTATTGACGTAACGTAGCTACACAAATAAAACATATTAATTGTAATTATAAATAAATATTATAAACGTGTAACGATTCAATATATTATTAAGAAATTGCACTATTCATTACAAACAATATAACGCGAATACTGGAAAATTAAAAAAGCGCAATGACATTAATAATTTGTAAAGTATATAAAGGCAAATGGTATTAAAAGTCATGATATTTTATAAATCAGAGTTTAAGTAACCACGAAAAGACATTGTTTTGATTCTTAGGTGCTCGTTACTAAAATGATCGGGTACCAACTTATCATTCTCAAAATATGGCGGGCTGTTGCCTGGTTCTCCAAGAAGAAAACCGACATCGACAACCGTTGCTTGAGCTGGTGGCTCGTCCTTAGATCTTCGTATTTCCTCAGCGACAACAGTGAGCACGACCGGTGCACCAACGTGAGTAATTTGCGTGAGTTCCTCTAAAGGCTTCGCGAGAACAATCTCACCTAAACATTGCAAGTAATTTATGTTTGTGTAATTTATGATGTATAATCAACCAATTTTTTATTCAACTAATTATCCTTAATATATAGGTATTACTACTGTGTGTGTTGATAACATATATTAATGATTATAAAAAATATTTTTCGAAAAATGGTTATTATTCGATCGCAAATTATACAACTATAATACGTTGTTATTACTTCTACTTATTCGCCAACATTCTATACATTTCTGCTTAAAATATTGTTTCTTTTAAAATTAGTATTTTGTGTAACATTTATTTATTACATTTTGCGTATCTCACGTATCGTATAACGTAAGTATACAATTTTTCATTTCCACACGCGCGCGACTTCTATGTTGGATTTCGTTATTTTTTGGAGAACCACTGTAACGATATTATATAGACTATTTTTAATATGAATAAAACATCGCGAAGATAATGGACGCGAATTCTCTTATCCTTGTTACTTCTCCGTCTCGCTTCGTATCGTACACGCACGCTGACCGGCAATAATTTTACATAATGTACCCACGGACTCGACTTAAGAAATCGTTCGCAGCGACGGATGAATGTGTATACCACTGGATGTACGTAGAACCCGTACACGCAAGGAGTCGTAGTACGTATCGCATGCTCCTTGCCACGGAATGATAAGCATCGCAGGTTGAAAAGCAGAGAGTGACCCCTGAGAACGATCGATACTTGGCCGTAGACTGTCCAGACTTATTCCGACCACCTTTAGCTCCTTCTGTTTACTCCTCGCCAATTTTTCGCGTTCTTACCTGACTTACTTGGATTTCTACGAAATATCTAATATTCTGAGAAACGATAGTAGTAACAAAAGTTTTGCTAGCATAATCTTTCATTCGTGCATAACATAGTTTTTACTTAAAAAAAAAAAATAATCTTGATCTTATGAAAAAAATAAAATTCTGTTTATTTGTCAAAATTATTCTGTTAATCTGTCGATTTAGAATACATTTTAAATAACATTTTTTTATGAATTTTATTAAGGTTTTACGATTTTTGTCTAACAATAAGATTTTTATGTAAAAAATGAAGAATGTTCATGTGAGTCAGTGAATACAAGAATACATGTGATTTCTTCCGCGGACTTTACGCGGAAAGTGGAACAAATTACTTCGCTATCAAGAAATAAAAGATCGACATCGGTGGAACAGTAGCGAACAAATTTCCCTGCTTAATCATTGTCCGGGGGTTTTGCGCGAAATGAGGTCAGTCTTTGTATACCAAAGAGGCATATATGAATCAGCACCGTTACTTCTTTCTGTCATCGAGATTGTCAAGTGGAAATGACACAAGACATGCGATAGATCGAGGAATTAACGATGACTCAACTCATCGAGTAAATTAATTACACGTACAATACTAATTTGCATCTGCGCGATAGAAGAAGTCCTTTAATCTTTGAACACGTTCAACTCGAGTAGCATAATTGGAACGCACGCAACCAAGGATTCAGAATAAAACGTAGTACAACAATGATGAAACTACTTTCTCCCAATTCTCTTAACTTTTCGTTGAATTACGCAAGATATTGAAAATTCAACAGTTTCTCACCGGTTGTTTCCGAAATGTTGAAAAATGGTATGAAAGGATTGCCTTCGGATACCAGACCATACGTGATTTCACGCGGTACTCCTTTATCTCCATCTTCCGCGTGAACTCGTAATATTACGTCCCCCTGGCACAAACGATTTAGAAAAGTATTGTGATTAAATAATAATAATAATAATAATAATAATAATACGGAAAAAGTATATCATTTTTATTTATGTAAGGTAAACAGAACACTCAAATATATCTTTTTCTATGTGAACAATTAAATTAAAGTAAATAAAGCAGGTTGAAAAATGCCATATTTAACTTACGATTTGTACAGAATTATTAAGCCTGGTTAAAGGGGGTGCTAGGGTAAAAATTGGCGGCACGTCCTGTACGTCTTGCACTATAACGACGATATTCAGTCCCGCGATGTTCCTAGTATCTTTTCCGGGTTCCGTGTAAGGATCCTACTTGGAAACATATTCTATCGGTGACACGCGCAGTTACGGACGTAATAACATTTTATGCTTATTCGTAGGATAATTATGCTTACCGTCGCGTAAATGGTGAGAGTGTACATCGATTGCGTCTCGAAGTCCAACTCGCCAATTAGCGTAATGACCCCGCGCGTTTGCGTAGGTGTTTGTCGTTGCCGAATAGTGAAAAGTTCTTTCGGTTGCTAAAACGACGTTGTATCTTTATGTTTCGCCTTACTAATTATATATTTATATAAATACAAAATAATCATTAAACATATACCCATAATTCGATGTAAACTGGCTTGCCGCTCCAAGAGTTCGCTCGTACGAGAAGATAATCTAGTTCTCTGCCTGGCTTAGCATCCTGTAATACGTTTTGCATTAATTTTTAATGTTATGCGTTGCATAATAATAGCTTTTATACTTATATAGATATGTTATACCGATAATTAATGATTACGTGCAAAAGTTGGTAGAGTGTTACATCTATAAGGTTCGAGTAATTACGCACTAATTAACGTTGTTAGAAGAAGAGCCATTAATAATTACACACCTCAGGTACCATTATCAGAGAAGGAATGTGAGGAAATATTTTATCACGCGAGGTTGTGGCGTTCGTTGCGGAAATAGTAGCCTGCATCGAATTCGAGTCTCCCTTAGTATCCCGAACCCTGACGGCGAAATCGTGAAGGCGTCCCGGCATAAGACGTTTCGTTAAAATTACATTAGCCTGACAGACTTTGTTGTACAATGTGCAAGGCAAGTTGTCGATTCTTACAACGGGTGTAATTGTTGCTGCAAATAAAATATAAAAGTCATTATTTTAATTCCTGATTACTGATCGAATTTTAATAACAATCAAGACTTTTGACCATTCTTCTTTTTTTTTTCTCTTTAATTACCGGTTATTTCGAACACGAGAGGAAAGTCCGCATCCTGATCGGTGGCGCGTAATCGAAAAATGACGGAATCGACTTCGGCATCGGTTGGAACCAATACCAATCCCATATCCGTAGATGTGTCGAAACGTGGTCGTGCACTTTTGCACCAACCGCAAACGAGCCCCAAATAAACCCACGCCTTAAACCATGCTCCTACGAAGAGCATTCTAAAAGAAGATAATATCCTTTCTTATATAAAGCGTTGAACATAAGATATTCAGAAGTAGAGGGTATCGAACCTATAATTTTTTAAGTCCTCGTTAAATATAAAGCAAGTAACAGTAAATCCGTAATGCTATATCTCTATAATCCACTTGTAATCAACATTAATAGTGAAAAGATGGTAAATTTTGATATGATGGTAGATATCGATTTTATGATCATGGAATGAGGTCGTGAGTATTCATTGTCGCGTCTAAAAACAGTATATTAAGTGTTCTTGTTTTCAATTCACATTATAAAGTATAATGTTGTCGATATAATCGTATAATGAATGGAATCTTAATTTTCTAATGGAATTTTATTTTTCTAATAATATTGTAATTATATACATCAAGTCATAATATAGTTTATGTAAATTTTAATAAACTTTTTTACTTAAATTGAGTAAAATATGTATAGTACAATTAAATAAAAATGTTTGTCAATATGTTAAAACTCATATATATTTAAATATATTATGAAAACATATTATATTTAAATATATTATAAAAACATGTATTATTTAAATATAAATAAATATGAAATATATATTTATATTAGGTTGGGGAAAAACTTTCTTCGTATTTTTTAATTCAAAATTATATATACAATATCTTCGTCAAAAAGGAACGAAATTTAAATTTCAAAAAAGGTTTTAAAGCTTGAAATCTCTATTTTCGGAAGGTTACTATATTTTTTGAGTTTCTGTGAGTTTGGTAATTTTTATATTTAAAAAACTATGAGCTGAAAAAGATGAAGCATTTTCTTTTCACTTTTGGGGGTCTCTCACGTGCCCCCAAAAAAAATTACGAAAATTTTCGACTATCTATCGTGAAGCTTTCCCTGCAAAACATTTTTTTTTAATGCTCCTATAATTTTTTGTTCTTGACTTATTCGCGAGTAAAGTAAAAAGGAGCATTCTGACTTCGATTGCTCATAATTCCGATAAAAATCATCATACCGCAATTTAAAAAACAGATTCTTAAAACTGAAACTTCGCTCTAGCGAATGATATAATTGTAACGAAAATTTTGCAACAAATGAAAAACTTGTGCAAAAAATTTTTTTAAATAAGAAACTTTTTCCCCGATCTAATATATAAAATATGAAATATTTATATATTTATAAATAATGAAATGTGTTAATAAAAAATTATTTTACTATAATTATTATATAATATTATCTATAATAAGTAAATATGTTATAATAAAATAATTAAAGTAAAACGTTCATATTAAATTTACATTAACTTTGTAGTAACATATTTTTATTTATTTTACAACATTGTATTTTCTATTACTTTTGAAATATTTTATATGATATGCTATTGTTATCCTCAATAAGATTTTTTTCATCAGAAATTTTTTTGTATGTCAGTAGTATAACATGCGATTGTTAAAGTGAATGTAGAAATGTGGGTCATCAGTCGTACATAACAGAACTAATATATTGTTGTGTCCAGTACATCCGTGGCACAGAAACTTTATGGTGACATATTTTACCGCCTATCGGTTGTATTTTTTTTCCGACCTCAGGCTTACAAAATATATAACAGTAATATAATGTTCTTTATACGTAAGATTCAAGATATGTAATAAAATTTGAAAATGCATTTTTTAAATAATTGTTTTCTAAAAATATTTCTAGGTTTTTTATATATAATTTTTTAACGCATTAATTATATTTTTGTTTCGAGAGATAAGAAAAACAGAACAGAAAATAAAAATTACTGGAAAAATAAAAGGAACTAAAGCATGTCTAGTGTATTGCTAATACATTACACTACTGAATAAACATTTAACATATAGATAAACCTATCAAATTGTTTGATTATCGTTAATCGATTATTTTATCTTTTTACGTTTTAAATTTCACAAAAATATGTATCTATATTTGAGATCTTCCAAAATACTTGACAGTCGTGTACATTTTTCTTTTGATTTTGTTCTCTATGTATAATATATTACATTTTAATTATTAAAGCACTTCTGTGCATTTAAAAGAAATGCAATCACAGTGCGTGTATAGATATATAGAATTTATTATACAGCTGTAATTACCGCTATTTAAATTGTTTTCTCTCATACAATATGCACTCTGTGTTCCTATCTGGAAACATCCTTCATCAATGACTCATGCCTTGACATTGCATAAATATTCTAGGCGAACGTAAGACATTTAATAGAATATTTAGCATCGACTTCCTACGTAGATCTATAATGAGTCTTGTTTGTGTAACGATGAAATGGGCTTTAACCCGTTGCGCATACCGTCTTGCTGTATATTTTTACCGGTCAGTGTCCACGCTAGAACGATCGATAGGCTTTTCCTTTTTCACAACCTGTGCCAGCATTGCTGGATACTTAGAATCGATATCCGTGGACGAGATTGAAAATCCACGTGAAGCCGGGCTTATAAATATATAATAAATAAATGCATGCTCGATGTATATATTGTACGCCGCGAAGTTTCAGTGCACGTGAGGGATGTCGATATGTCTTGTCGATTGCATCGACATTTCGTATACATATACAATAACGATATCTCATTACAAATTAATAAAGAAGTCATTAACCTTCTACTTTTCGTATCTTCTGCGAAGTTCTATTAGAAGAAAAATTACTTAAAAAATGTTTAAATAGTATTGTAATAATACACATTCAAAGAAGAATAGTAAAGAAAAAAATTATCAATTATATACTATATTGCATTAAATATTTTTTGTATATTTTTAAATATGGAGTCTACAAATGATTCTTTATTTCATATTAAAAATTGAGAAGTGTTCTTTATTGATTAATTTTTTCTGCGATAGAGAAATAAAAAATGTTATTATTATGTTTTGTATTGCTTTGAAGTTTAACACTATGATTATAAAATTTACGCTATGAAAATTGCATCGTTATTAGTTTGCAAAACAATTTCGCGGAAGAGAAAATTCATAGTATTATGATTTATAAATAATATTGTTATCATCCAATTTAAAAGCGTAATTCGATATCAGTAAAAAACTGTTTGAAAAGATGCATCAACTTACCTGAGAACACAGATAATCACGAGATCGTCGAACAGTTCATGTTTACGCGAATACTTATCGATCACAGATCAAATAATTTTTTCGGCAGTGACACACTTATTTTCGAAACGAAAAAATTCGTAATTCTTACTTTCTTCATGAACAATTTTTCAGAATAAGTTATCTTTTGTTTCGACATTTTTAGCTTTGTGTTTTTCATCGTTCGCTTCAATGTCATATAATTATTTTTGCGCATAGGTTTCGAGTTATCATACATTCATTATTTTGTTCCAAAAATCATACTTGTAAGAAATCACTGAAATAAACAGCGAACAACCAGATTCGTGATCCAGAGACAGCATTCTCGAGGATCGCGTGGAAGCACACTTCACGCGGCCGCGTACTCCGCGTGTGTGAAAGGGGTTGTACTGTTCAACCCCCACGTTCATGCGGTTGTACGAGTCACGTGTACGTCACGTTCGACAATCATCCCCTCCATAATATCAAAGGTATATTTAACTATTAGTAACTGGTAATGGGCTCTCGAATGTTGGAATTGTCCAAATTAATCAAATAAGATATACATAATTATAATACATAAATAATAACTACTACTTTTTTTTCTATTTTTTGTGTTTACATAAAGTAATATCATCAAGTAATACAGACATATTATCTAAAGAGATAAATGTCATATTACTGGTATATAAATATCATAAAATTCTAAATTGAAGCAGACATTTTCAATAACATGCTTAAGGACATTTTCTTGTAATATGTAGATCTTATTTAAAGTATGATAAAGTTTAATATATTTGATTATCTTCGAATTTTAATTTCTTCAAATTTTTAAAAGATAAATTAAATAGCTCACACTTAATTCTTTAATTATTTTCGAATAATATTATATTTTTGCCAAAACTTTGCTTTTGAATATAACTTAAAAAATAATGCAGCTGTGATTACTCAATGTCTCAATAAATTAGATAGTAGAAGTTAATCGCGATCCCCTAAATACGAAAGGTTTTTTACTGTGGGTTTGCGTGTTTATTGGAAAAGGAATATTGATAAACATCGGAAATTTAATCTTCAAGAGTCACAATCGTGAATTTTAGTGCGCACTTTTTCACTAATTTAAACAATAATGAGAAAATGTCATTTTAACGTACTAATTGTAAATTTTTTAATTAGAATACTTTGAACGTTTATAAAACTTATTTATATCTTATATCTTATTATTAATCTAAATATTATTTATTGTCAACTTTTATTTACGTTTTACCAATTATAAATGAAAAAAAAAAACATAAATCGTGTGAACAAATGTATTAGTTTTTATAAAACATTTTTCATTTTAATAGTATAATTGTTGGACGATAACTTTTCACCGGTACGGTGGAATGTACGCCATATAATAGCGAATGTAATATGGAAAGGCCAAAGGACGCCATAACGCCTTAAAGAGGCTTGTACCTAGGTGGTCGACTACTGACCAGTCGGTTATATAGCTACTTTAGATTAGCATGAGGTTGCACGCAACCCTGACGTTCAGGAAGACGATAAGAGAATAGGTAACCGTTTCCTCGGCTACCTAACTTTTCAACCAGTGACCTGCTATTCCGTGCGTATAAAACTTATAATCTCGATCGCAGTTCGGATTTTTTTAGTTATCTGGTCATATACATATGTATGTCAGGTATTCGACTACTCAGATGTCGCCAGAATAATTAACGCGATTAACTATTAGCACACAACTTCACTTTCTTCTCTCTAAGCAGAAAAGAATTTCGTTTAGGAAATAAGAACATAGAATTTACTGAAAAAAATTTATTTGTCTATAAAAAATACAAAGGTGTACAAAAATTTGTTGTACGATAAATCGTTGTGCAAGTAGTCAACGTTGACTAATATTATAAACTAAATCGTTCAAAATACTCAGCACTCATAATATAAAATATCTTACTTGTGTCAACACATACATATCAATTCATTCATAAAAGGCATATGAATTATGAATTAAGTATACATGTTACAATAAATAATTTGCGGAAATCTTGTATTTAAAATTATAACAGTCGATGACGAATCGTTCTATTTTTATGCAACGTTATTATTTACAAAGCAATCCTTGGTTTTATTCTACATCTAAAGAATAATCAGTGGCATAGCATGAATCACATATGATCTCAAAACTTATTGATTTACTATAATTCTGTTGTTTCGATTTTTTTCCCTAAGGGATTGACGATTGTATTTTGTCCAGAATAAATCGGTGAATTTCTTTCAAAATTATTTTGAATATTGATACTCTCTATGCTGTAATAGTAAAAAAATATATATGTAGATTACGTACCATGCATTGTGTACACATTAGACGTAATGATATCGTATTGTAAATTTAAAATATAATATTGATGAGTAGAATTTTTTCCATAATGTATATGTATATAAAAAAAATAGAAAAAATTCAATTTTCGTAATCATGTCATTAATATGTCCAATTATATTTGTTTTAATCAGAAGTAAGTGGTAACATATATTACAAAAGTAGCTTCATACCTAGAAATAGTTGAAATTCTTGGTTCTATGTAATATGGTTTATCCTCAGATCTTTGGTTTGTATTAGCTTCATTCATCATCTCTTCGTTATTAAGCGCATTCTCGTCGAGAGAATCTCTTTCGGACGTATGGCTGAACGACTCGTCGTTCTTGAACCATTCGTTTTCATAAGCGTGCATCCATATAGGATTTGATCCTTCGACGCTGTGTTTGTTAGTATTCGGGACGCGACCAGGACTTCTGATAAATTCCGAGTCTGATACACCTTTGGAATTGATAATAAATTAAACTGATTTTATTATAATATATTGGAAACAATGTTGTTATAAAAATTATTAAAAATATTTCCTTGCAAAAAACATTTAATTACCGAAAATCTGTTTTTTTTAATAAATTCTAAATTTCATAAATTCTAGAACTTTTGAGATGGGAAAAAAATCGTTATTAATTATATTGAAATTCTAAAAGTAACGCATTAACTTGACAGAATTTCTAACGAGTGGTGGACAATAGCTAAAGAAAGAAAAGGACTGGTAGACATAGTTATCTTATTTGCATTTAAAGTTACCGAATGGTGATGCGTTCGCCGCTTTCAATTGCCTTCGAAAAGAAGCCCTTTGAGACAAACATAGAGCGACACACAGAATCAGTAGAGCTCCTAGAAATAGGGTCAACGTGAGAAGCCAGAAAGTCGTTCCAGCTTGTTCATACTGTATAATCGGTTCGGGCTTTGCTGGCTGTGTATCGAGGACGTTGAACTCCTTAAATAGATTGTCGAGTTTCTCGATGTTCCTGTCGACTAACTCGAGAACCTCGGATACTTCGAGAATCGAATTGTCCCGACGATTTACGAGGTGCAAATATAAATCCGTTTTCGTTCTATCTACGGAACCATCTTGATTTTCATGCACTTTATATTCATCAACGTTAATTATAGCGCTTGTGACGTTACCCAGAATTCTGTGAATGGGGAATTTAGATGTTAGCTAAAATATTTTTAGATCTTACTTGAAGTAGGAACAAGAGATGCCCTTAAACTTTCTACAAAATTTGAAGAATTTAAATTTGAAACATAATCAGAAATATTTTACTCTGTCATACTTTGCATAAGATCTATATATTACAATAGTTCAATATTATTGATAAACTATTAATTTTCTTGAAATTATCTATTTTCTAAATAATTTGTTATCCAATATTTTTCTATTTTAGTGAAAATTTATCATTTTTAGTTATATATTACGATGACGCGGGCAAAATACGTTACACTTACTCTCGGAAAGTCTCAATTCGACTTCTGACTTCTGGCGGATGTTGACGGAGAACAAAACGAACCCTTTGATCCTCCCTTAATAAATAGATAAAAACTCTCGCAGTATCTTGCAAGCCATATGTATCGTTAACAAGTACCTGTATTTATACAATATTGTATACAAATAACATTTTACTTAGTTTATTGTTTTATATTAAATAAAATAAGATATAAAATTATTACAGAAAAGATTGAAAGTGCGGCATTCTATATTTGTTCATACAAGAATATATATCAATTTTATCAAAATAATTTATATTATTAAAATAAGTATACATTGAAATCAAAGTATCCCTTCATTCCTCGTTGAGGATCAAAATTCAGGCTTACTGCTCCATCGTCTTTATTTACTAGAAAAGGCTGCATTTGCATATCTTCGAAGCCTTCAGTTAGCGTCATGTGAATTTTGCCTACTTGATAATAACTGAGTATGGCATTGTTGCCAGCGTCCGCATCAATTGCCTGT